TTTCTCATCCCTCAGGCGAGCAACGGCCAGTGGTACCAAATGAATGATTCAATGGTGCACTCCAGTAACATCAAAGTGGTTTTGAACCAGCAGGCCTATGTTCTTTTCTACCTGAGGTAAGACAGAGCTGCAGGACATCAAAACACATGTCTGCACTTTCCTGGATGAGTCATTAAATAATTTGGCGCCTGACTGTGTATTAAAGAATACCTGAAACAAAGAAGAATGCAGACGGACAGACCACCAAGCAGGGAAAGTTGCATTCTGCAAAAAATAGTGTATCATCAGAGCAGATAAAAAGGGCCAACCTGAACGGGCCTCTCTCCTCCCCACAAGTCACAAAGGTATCAGTCGACATAAAAAATTAAACTCTGTCATAGTATTTAGTTCTGTGTTGTTTAAACRTTTGGGTTTAAATAATTTTCTCGACAGAAACTTGAGCCTGCACAGCTGCGTAAGATCCAGTCTATGGACGGTGGTTTGGGTTTGCCCGTTTCCAGGAATGGCGTGAACTCTCAGCCACAGCCCAGACTCTCCAACTGGACGTCGTCCTCCAACGGTCCACCAAAGCTGCCGAGCGGACCCACTGTTATTGAGGAGCCTTTCAAGAAAGTTAAGAAAGCCTCAACCCAGAGCCAGGYGCAGTCCCGCAGCACCACTCCGACCCCTTCCAACAACGGGGCCGGCAGGCCGGAGGGGGATAAAAAACAAGGTGGCGAGGGAAGAGGCATGGCAGCATCTACCTCCTTTAAGTCTTTGTCTGACTCTTCCTCTGCTGACACCACCGACTCAAAGGTAACACGACCTCTCAAAGGTGGGATCGGTTTAAAAAGGCCATCTGTCATCTTTTTTTTTTTTTTTTTTGACAGGAGTTAGCCGGACCCAAAAGCGAGCCAGTGAGAGAGACCCCCTCCACCCCTCGAAAAGGCTCCAGCAGCTTGGCGTCTCCAGCGAGGAGCGTGGAGCGCTCTCAGAGCATGGAGGAGCAGAAGACGGGAAAGCTCAAACCCCCAGCCCTCAACAACATCACTTCTGAAGCCACCAGCACCATGTCGCCACCACCTGCCAAGAAGTTGGCACTGTCAGCCAAGAAGGTACTTTTTGTTTTCCCCCCCAGCTACAGTAGCTTTACCACTTCTTGTTGTTGTAAGAGATTATCAAAGAGCAAATCAACTCAGGTTTATGCTCGTCAGTCTGGATTGTGATCCGAATTATATCTTCTGTGTACCTGTCTAATCARCCACGTTAGCTCTTTTCTTTTTTTAGTTTCCCTCTTTTTCTAACCATTTCTAATTCTTCTCTGCCATACCCCTTCTCCTTTTTTGTTTTCCTCCATCTTTTCCCGCCATTCCTTCAAACGGCCCCCCTTCCTTCTATGATTTTCTTCCTTATTTTTTTGTCACATTCATGGCTATTTTCTTTAGACCACCAAGTTTTTATTTATGTCGATAACTGCAGGCTTACAGTCGGAGTCTGACCAACATTGATGTTCTGCCCCATTTGCCCAACCAGCTGCCCACTGACCATTTGCATCACAATCAACCTAATGTCGTCGCCAACGCCCCATCTGCTCACAGGTATGAAGAGTGAGTGAGATGTAGAAGTATATAAAATGCACATGTGTCTGATTTTGTTTTCTTGTCTTTTCAGAGTCAACTCATGCCGTTCACTTAAAGCCCAGTCATCACCTCAAAACCACTCATGTGAATTATTTGTGCAGAGAAGCCCTCACAAGCAGCCCCTCGTCACCGCACTGCAAAAACCAAATGATAACCTTTCCCATAAAACCAACGGGCTTCACAGTCCAGACCCAAAGAGCCCGAAGTCTTCCAACAACCTCAGCTCTGCGGCTCAAGACCCAAACCCCGACTCTTCGATTCTAAACGCCAGCCAAAAGAAGAAGAAGAAAAAGAAGAAAAAACGACGGCGTTCTGAGATGGAAGGCGACACGGAGACGTTTCCATCGCCGCCTCCGCTCTCACAGTCCAGCCCCGTGGAGTCGGCGAGCGAGAAGAGGTGCAAGAAGAAGAAGAGGAAGCGAAAGAGTGACAGCGAGGAGACGCTGAAAGAGAGCGAGTGCGTCCAGTCTCACTTGGACACGTCGAACCAGGAGGAGGACTGGTGTCAGAGCGGCTTATGGAGCCTAACGGCCCAATCAGACGCAGAGCTGTCGAAGCAGAAGACTCAGGTTTCCGCTACAAGTGCGACGCAGCACGAGTCAAATCAGAACGAGCAGGAACTGAGTTCTGTGAAGAAAAAGAAGAAGAAAAAGAAAAGGGTGATTGAAGTAGAAGAAGCTTCGCAGGAGGAAAATTCTACTTGTTCCACATTAGAAAGGTTGGTAAAAGAGTTTCTTTTTCTTTTTTTTTTCCTCTCACACTTTTGAGCATTTTACATCAAGACATGTCCTTTATTCCTATATTAACATAAAATGAAATTAATTCAAACTTGTCCGTGTTAATAATCAACAGTCTATGCATGGAAATGACGGCAATAATTATTCCAGGGCCACGGGATCAAGTTTTTTTTTTTTTTAAATCCAGTGTCTTGGGATGGGCTCTGTAGAAATTGAGATGCTTGTTACATCTTTTAAAATTTCTATATTTATCTATATTATTATTATTTTTCCCAACAGAACATCTGAGCCACAGCCCACAGACACCTGTAATGACACAAACAACTTGATAAAGATGAAAAATAGGTTAAAAATGAAGAAAAAGAAGAAGAAGAAGCTAAAAGAAGAGCTGCGTCTGCAGAAGAAGAGTCGGCTCTCTGATGACGGACTCGCAGAGGAACCACAATCCAACAGAACCACCTCAGAGGACGGGAAACTTGGCAAACAGAGCGCAGGTATGTGAACATCTTCAAACAAACTTGGCATGTTTAAAAACGAGCAGGAGGAAAAACAAGTGTCGACAGAAAAAGAGCAGTTTAATAATCCACCTCCAGCTTCCAGCTGGTTCAGTCACTAACAACACTTGTACTGGGTTTAGCTCCAGTTGTAGCGTGGGACAGTCAAGTGAAGGACGGCTACAAACGCAGCCAGGCCCAAGTGTCTGACGGGAGTGTGTTAGAGGAAACTTCAAAGCATGCTCCCTCTGCAGCCTGGGATGGGAAGAGGAACAGCGATGTTGTAGGCGAACTACTCAAGAACTCCAAAGATAAAGCCTACGGGGCCGACGGTGAGACACTGATCTGTGAATCCTTTTTTTTTAGTTTAATAATTTATTCATTTGGATTAAAAACAAAAATTTTAATACAACAACAAAAAAAAAGAAACACAAATCTCATAAAATGAAAGGAAGCAGAAGAAAAAAATCTTATATCTGCCCCTATTTAACAAAAAAAAGAATAATAAAAATAAAAATATATACACATTTATACGTGTACACATACACACATTCGTATATACATACATATACACATGCACACATATAATTCTACACCCTCATCAGCATAACAAAAATAAATAAATTAACCCCTCAAACATCAGCTTCATATTTTTTCAACAATTTAACTTTTATCATTTTACCAAATAAATTAATCGAGTCGGCATTTTTATAATCCCTGCCCAAGTTATTCCACGATCCTATTCCTTGAACTGAGGTACATCTATCGTTCAAGTTTATTTTAATTTTAGGTTTTATAAACATTTCAAATCCTTTTCAGATTATAACAACTTTCCCTTTTAAAAAAATTAGATTGAAAATTCAAAGGCAATACATTTTTATGAACCCTATACATAATTAACAAAATCTTATAATCAACCAACTCATAAAATTTTAATAATTTCAGTTGATGAAATATTGTATTTGATGTGTGACTATAATGTTTTCTGGTAATACTTCTTATAGCTCTTTTTCGTAAAATAAGAATAGAATTAGTAAATGTTTTACATGCCTTACCCCAAATTTCAACACAGTAAATCAAATGTGGAACAATTATTGCGTTATATAATACAAACGGTGCTTTATCATTAAATAACTCCTTTACCTTATGTAGTACTGCAATAGATGTAGCTATTTTTGTTCTCAAGTAATTTATATGAGGTTTCCAGGTCAGGTTTTCATCAATAATAAACACCCAAAAACTTCACCTCACTCACTTTACAGATCCCACATTATCTACACGCTCGCATGATGTCGTTTTAGTTTGATTTGAAATCACTGAAGATTGTTTTCTTCTTTAAATCTAGTCCTGAGCTGGGATGGTGAGGTCTCTGTTGTTAGTAAAGATGCCATTGAAGACGTGCGCAGTGCCATGTGTGACACTGTGATCGATGAGTGGGATGAAGACTTCGACAGAGGAAAGGTTAGGGAAGAGACAACACTGTGGATGATGATTATTATTATTATTATTATTATTATTGTTGTTATTTTTATTATTATTATTTTCATTTACGGTCTGATTGAGCTGCGTTCTTGTAAAAAACCTTTCAGGTGAAGAAGGTGAAAAACTATAAAAGAGAGAAGTGGAGAACTGGCAGCAACTTCTTCCAGAAGATCCAGGATCAGCGGAACAAGTGGTCGGTTTTACCTGGAGGGAAGAGAGTGTTTGGAGTCCGACGCTGAAAAAAGTCCTGACTGATGCTGATGACAGCAAATTAAGACAACCACACCAAACTGTTTTTTCCCTCTTCTCTCTTTTTTTTTTGTTCAGTTCTTCTTGAATTTTACTCGTGTCCGTTTTCCAAATTTAGGAGCGAAACGCTGACAGCCCTAAGATTAATTTGAACTGAACTTAACTTCCCAGAACTGATTTTTAATCTAACCATCTAAACRGCTTAGAACATTCAGGCTTTACTAGATAACCATCACAAGTCCATTTCATGTGATTTACTGTATGTTAGCAACCTTCCAGCCTTAGTTACCATAAAGCTACTGTAAAATAAAATGAAATAGATCAGATTTGTGAAAAAAATGTACCTTTTTAGATTTGTGGCTTTATTGTATCACAGTCTTAGAGCAAACTGTGCTGCTTTTGAAGGCATAAGGGCTCCCAGGTTAGGAAAGAAGTGACCTTTTTTAACCCTTTTCATTGTGTTTTCTATACCAACTTAAACAAACAAAAGAAAAATCAATAATAGACCATTTCGTAGTTTTTATTTTAATGCACATATTAACTTCCCCGCGTCACAGATCAATGAATATAAACAAACAGCTATAGCTGGACACGCCACTGGAACTGAGCAAATTTAACAAGCTCAAAAAAAAAACATTTATAGGCTAAAAAAATGTTTATGAATAATCTCATCTATGATCTTAAAGAAAAGTTTAACAAAGCAGTTCAGCATGTCTGTATGTTGGTGCAATTCACCAGTTAAATTTGTATGGGTTAAAATGGCATTTGTGCAGCCAATTCAGTGTTTATCACCAAAAATGTGAGCAGGGATGCTTGGCACTGTTTTTAACTATGAACTGGTCTATTAGGTGTTTAAACAGCCTTTTTAGTTATTTTTATATATTATCCCCACTGTCTTTATTTTTGCTGCAGTACGTGTAACGTGGCTTTTTAACGGACCAAATTTTGCCTGCATCGTGTTGGTAAAATTGAGGTTTGACAGGCCATCTTTTTTTAATTATGCATGTTTAAGCAGATTGGATATATATATAT